TGTGTGTGTGTGTGTGTGTGTGTGTGTGTGTGTGTGTGTGTGTGTGTGTGTGTGTGTGTGTGTGTGTGACTCACAGCCTTTACTTTCCTCCTGTGTTTGTGAGAGCAGCTCAGTGAGTTGCCCATTTACTTCATTTTTCACAACTCACATTTGGATTTGTAAAGCCATAAGACTAAAGACGCACGTGTGAAGCCCTGCACTCTGAGAAATAAAATTTTGATTGTGATACATTTAATCCCTTCATAAGAAGCAGTTTACATAAAGGATACTGCATGTTTAAACCTTTGTACTGACTCTTTTTTTTTTGCATTACGTGATTGAGTCCACAGGATATTATCAGTGGTGATTCAGCTAAAACTAGTGGAGCAAAATRGAACATACTGGACAAAACATGACAGAGACACTATCTGATGCAAAAGTAAAGCTGTGTARAAACTAATAAAATAATGTCAGTGTGAACCACAGTTTTTTTTAATACAGCCCTGAAAACTTGGTGTTCCTCACTTGAAGCATAATGTTTCCTCTGCAGGACAAAGAATACTCCTYCTCATCCATTCCTTATAATTCCTCTCATCTTGTCTTCCAGTTGTCAGGCACCAGTGTGGTGGTGGACATCGCGGTGATGGGAGAGGCCCACGGTTTGATCTCAGACCTGCTGGCGGACCCCTCCCTGCCCCCCAACACCTGCAGCTCCCTGAAGGCCGTCAGCAGCCTCCTCAGCACCCAGATCAACCTGCAGCCTGTGCACCGACACCGCCTGCCCACGGACGCACACATCTGCTCCGACTCAGAGGACGGGCCTGAAAAAACTGAGCGGTTGGCCATTCCAAAGGTTAATGCTTGTCATCTTTCAAAGATTTGACAACTTCAGTTTCTTTGGTTGCTGCCATCCTACAAGAAAATATATTTTAAAGTGTAAACAAGGGGTTGGCTGATTTTTCTGATGTTTAAAACTCAGTCTCGTGCTGAAAATAATATTCTATGTAAGTTCCTGAGAGAAAAAAAAAAACATTATTATAGTTGGTACTCAAAGCTATTTGTTGCGTTTTAGTTTCTTTTGAATGGATATTTCTATAAAAGCAAGGATGYTTATTGTGTTATATAAATGGTTTTAAACAAAATTACATGAGACATATGACTGACACCCTCCAACCACACCCGCAGTGCAAAATTTAACTTATTGTACATCACAAAAATTACATTTAGACAACATAAATTGAAAAAAAAAACTTGTGCAAAAAGGTGTAAAATACTCAGTAAGGCATGAGCTCAGTCTACAAGGAAACTATTAAATAAATTTGTATTTTCTGTGAAAATATGGTGTGAATGCTGAAATCGGAATGATAGCTGAAGAAGCTGTGAATTCTAACAGAAACAGGACACTAGTTAAGATCTAAAAGTAGCAAAACCTTAGGTACAGTAAGAAATAATAGTAGCAAAATGCTAGCTAAAACTAAAAGTAGCAAATGTCTAGCTCAAATTTCCAGAATGTTAACTAAAAGCAGCAAAAGACCAAATAAAAGCTAAAAGTAACAGAAGAAGACACAACTAGATCAGGCTTACTGTAGCAGATTGAAACAAATTTGGAGGAACGGATCTCATGGTGGCTGGTAATAAAACGTGATTTGACTGAGTAAAGCCCGCTTGAAAAGAGACGAGCTGTTTTACACCTGTCTGGGTGCTTCTGAATGTTTAAAACATGCCCAGAGTCCTGATGAGGTGCTGCTGGATCCCACCTCATTATGTGAATCTGCATGTCATGTCAGCACAAGAAGGAGRTCCACAAAGATAATCCATGAAGTCAGCATTTGACAGGTTTTATACTCAAGTTTGATATTATTTGTCCTTTTCTCTCATTCATCTCCAGTAATTTAGAGTTCTAATGTAGTTTGAATCAAAACAACACAAAACACCAGTTCAGTTATATCTGTGATGCAAAGGAAAAAAGAGAACCGGTTGGTGCAACAATACATGTCCGCCACCAGCTGAAGTCTTTGGGAGTAAAATTAAAGAAAAGGTTAGGGTCCTCCTCTATCTCCACTTTTAGAATCTTCAAGAGCCAAACGTAAACATGCAGTCTGGGAGCGGTACAATCTGTTGGGAAAATATGAAACTCTTGTCCTCAAATTTTGACAGTTTGGTCATTATGAGATTTTTAAGGGAAAGAATTTATCCCCTTAAAATGAAAAAGGCTTTCCAGTTCTGTTCCRTATTAGTCTTTTTCTTTTGCAATTATTGTGTTTTTATTTTGTATTTGAACCCCGATTTGATTTAAAAAGACTTTGGCTTTGGTTTATTGTTTTAGTTTTTAATGAAAGTGACACTGCAAAGCCTCTTTGTTRTTTATACAGTAGGTGTTGTGTTTAAGACAATAAAGTATGAGACATTTATTGTGCAAAAGCAATACTGCATGCGTGTTAGAGTGTGTGGGTTAAAATGCTTGACTATAGTTTTGTTTTTTTGACGGAAGTGGCTAGCTTGTGGTCAACACTTGTATGTGGGACCTAGAATATTTGGGTAGCAAATGACTTGAAAAAAACAGAACTCATGGGATTTGTCTGGTTTCATATTAGCCGAATGTTAATTACCTTTTTAGTTTTCTTATGTGGACTTATTACAGGATTTTGTTGGGCTCTAATTGAACACAGTTTTAAAATGTTGACCGTCATAAATGTATTATTAATGTTACTTATTTTGACCTAATACACTCATTTCTAATTGTCTGAACCAGGCTATTTAATTAAATTACTGCTGTTCACCAGATAAGATGGCCATTTTCAGTCTGATCAGGAGTTCTATTTATATAGGTCAGCAGACTTACTGTATTTGCCTTTGTCTGCAGAACTGTTGACAGTGGAACATACARTAGATAACTATGATCTGATAGAAGCTACCTCAACACATTCACTGGAGCTGAAAATATTTGTCTAAGAACAGCTTTAGACCCACTTTTTCCTTTTGTGAAAACAAAATTGTCCAAATKGTTTAACTTGGTCTCCCTGGTGAAGTCTGTTCTGGAGTGCTRGACAATAGAGTCTGATTGATGGTCAAACTTTAGATTTAGGAGAAACAATGCGGGTTCTGTTCCATCTGTGGAACACTGGACCAGCTTTTTACCCTCACTAGGGTCCTCTAGCTCGAGGGGGCACTTTTTAATGGTCTTTTAAAGCAGCAGTTTTAGCAAACATTTTATAAACCACCACCATCATAATCTCAGTACATGTTAGTTAGAAGCACAAATAGCAGCAACAGCAGGTAGCTGTAGCACATTTGGTTTCGTTGAAATATCCTATTTCTACCTGTGTCTAACCTGACGAAGGTTTAAAAAATCCCAATTGCCTGAACCACTGCAGGGATTTTGAAAATGTTTTAAAACAACAACAATCTATGGGTCTTGACTCTGACTGGAATAGCTGGCTTGTCTGTCCAATCTAAAATAATTTATATTTGTGTGTAAACATGTATATATGTGTTTTCACTGCAGCGTCTGAGAAGAAGTCTTCCCCCAGGACTGCTGAGGAGAATCTCATCAACCTGGACCACCACCACGTCAGCCACAGGGCTGCCCACCATCGAGCCAGGGCCTGTACGCAGAGACCGCTCAGCCAGCATCAGACAAACTTCAGACTGGTGATTGCTTTATAACCTTCATAACAGTGGAAAAGATTTTGTATTTTTTTGTCTGACTGTTTTGTTGTTGTTGTATTTTAATATTAAAGCAATGATTTGTGGAACAACCCATTGATGATCACCATCTCAAAGAGCCGCTCCATGTCTGCCTCCTGTACTGCCTCCGCCACGTCCAACCACCTGTACAGCAAACCACTGGGAAGACCAGGTACGTGTGTTTTTACGCATTTCTACWCTCACAATCCAGCTCTAGTGATAACTTTACCAACTTTGGAACAATCTCTTTCAGGTTTCCCTCCCGCCCTCATATCACCTCTGGGCTCCCCGTGCTCATCCCCTCCCGCCCAGGGAACTCCCGTCTCCAGTCCTACCACAAAGACGTGTTCAGTGCAGCTTCCTGAGCCGGCTGAGCCGCAGACAGAGCAAATACCTGTCTCTGTGGCCCCCAAGAGCCATCACAGAGCCTTAACTCACAGCCAGAGCGCCCCAAGCTCCACCACCATTCACTGGCGGCCTCCACCTCTCTGCAGCAGGTCGTCTTTATGAATCAGGCTTCTTCTCGCTCGCTGCCGAAGGCGAAGCAGCGATCATGTTTTTGTATCTGTGTGTGTTCCTTTATCTCATGAACCACTAGATAAATGTTAATGAAACTCTCAGAAAGTAATCACTGGATGTACATCTACAGCTGTTTAACTCTTAGAGTCAGCCATTCAAGATAACCGCGACAGTTTATTTTACAGATAATAAACTAAAACTTGGAGCTTCTTAACGATTCTGCAATCGAGGCACCCTTAATTACGAACAGTTTGCAGAAATTCTTAATATTTGTACAAATGCTTATTTGTATTGCAGTGCGGCAGTGAGGTTATGCATTTATTAAAAAGAAAGTTGGAAATTGCCTGACTGAGTTAGCGTTTCTCGTCTTTTGACTCACAGTTGTGGCAGGCCGTTCAACCTTCGGCTCAACAATGGAGTMGAGGCGGGCAGCAAAGGAGACAGACTAGCCCACCCAGGTAAAGGCATTCTATTTTTTCCAATGGTACCTACCAATAAAAATGTCACTAACAGAAATGCTCCCCTCACAGTGAAAATCCAAATGGGATTATTAGTTGGTTGCAGCAAACAGCACATTTCTAATGTCTTCCCAGATGAGCGCGCAGTAGCTTCRTCCGACTATGACAGCACCTACGACAGCACCTATGAGACCAACCACAGTGACAGCAGCGACTTTGCACAAAATGAGGAGGAGGGAGAAGGAGGCAAGAAGCCGCCTGAAGCGAGGGAAGGTTGCAGGGAGTATCCAGCAGAGGTCATCGTTCTTCACCCACTTCAGTCATCGCCAGAGGTGATGGTTTATTTTCATTGGTTATCATTGCAGAGATATTTGAGGAAATGTGTTTGATGTATAAGTGAAATACAGTGAAGGACTGGAAATATCCACTTGCACCTCTTTTCTTTTCTTTCCTTTTCTTTCCTTTTTTTTTCTTTTCTTTTCTTTTTACTTTTCCTTTACTTTCATCATCCAGGATAAGCCCTTCTCTGAGCCGGAGAGTCCGGTAATGCCAGGGCTGGAGCCCCTGATGAGTCAGCTCAACAACTGGAACTTTCCCATTTTTAGTCTTGTTGAGAAGACTCATGGCAAGACAGGCTGCATCCTCAGCCAGGTAACACTTACAGCACTAGTGAGGACATTATGACTTTGTGAAAACATAATCAAATGATTTTAACTCAGAAACGTCCACATGCACAATATATAGCAACTTAAAACAAGGTGATGCTTTTAGCTGTTAAAGTGGCTGTCTCAAAGAATTTGCATTACACTTTTGAAGCACAAGTTCAGTCTTACAGGGGAGTTCTTTGGAAAGGTTTTGAACAAATATCTTACTTATTGCAAACAATTTTTTGAACAGCTTTGGTTTGGCAATTCTAACAAATTGATGCAGTAATGGCTAGGCTGAGAGAGGCAAGACCAAAGAGGATTGCTGCTGTCTCAAAACTCATTGTAAAAAATTCAGAGCAGTTTTTGAAATGCTTTGTTGTTGTTGTTGTTGTTGTTGTTGTTGTTGTTTTTACAAACCTTTCCACCACTATTAATTTTGTATTACACAGCTCTGTTAGTTATTCTTATAATTTGCATTTGTGAGTCTACAATGTAATATTTTATTTGCCGGAATAAGATTTCCAATCAATCATACCTGTGTTTACTGCACTTGAAATCTTCACGTGTGTAAATCACATGCTGTCATGTACAAATGTGGTAAAAACCAAATATGTTATGGAACATTCCCTACATGTACCTGTGATACCATGGTTTTCTACAAGGTCGCATGTAAAAAAACATATCAAATGTCAAACATGTGAATTTTTCTGTAGGCAGAAAGTGATAAAGTTAACATCTCTATTAAAAACTGCAGTGTTGTGAACTTTGAAGTGACTGTGTTCTTATTCCTCAGGTTTCTTTTAGGCTCTTTGAGGACACAGGTCTTTTTGAGACCTTCAGGATTCCTGTTAAAGAGTTCATGAACTACTTCCGTGCTTTGGAGAATGGATACAGGGATATACCATGTGAGTAGAGAGTCTGCTTAATTACTACAAAAAGAAAAAAAAACATATTTGCAGCTATGCTGTCTGCTGCCACAAGGTGGATGTATTGCTCATAAAATTACCATGCAACGACAGAACCTTCTGTTTTTGTTGTATTTATTCTTCATTTTGATGGTAAAACAAGATTTAGCAAAAAGGGAGTTTATTTTATTTTAAATTTAACAATTTCTGCATAAGTTGCTCACAGAACTGTACCATAATTGTTAATTTAATCAGATTTTATTTGTGTTGTTCTTTTGACCTGTGCATTTAAAAAAATCAGATGCTCTCAGATGAGTTTTAAGTTACTTTAGACTGAATGCTAACCAGATTAGTTTTAAATGCATTTTAGTTCAAACTTTATGTGTTTCTTTACGTTCACCTTCAGACTCTTAGTCAAAACTGAATGACTGATTTCAAAGGCATACTGTATGTATATA